TGAGCCAGAAGTGAGGTGCGGATAGCCGTGTCTGTGCGGGCAGGCAAGCGGGGCGACAGCGTCCAGCTGCCTGGGCTGAACTCGGGGGGCAGGTCGGGGGCGGTGGGGATCCGCTAAGGCGGAGAGAAATAGGAGCCAGGCGGGCGTTTTGTGGCTTTTACTCTATATATGAAAGAAGACAAAAACATACAAAGTATATATACAACTAAAATTCAACAATATATACAGAAAGGTTGCTCGGGGGAAAGGTCCCTCTCGCTCAGCGGGTGAGACTGCCGTCAGGCAGCGCTGAACCTTCCTTCCCCAGACCGCGGCGGCGGGCGCTGCCGCGGATCCCTCGCTCTGTCTTTCCTGCTCGTCTCCGGGAGTCTGTCCGGCTGTGTGCGGGTGTGTGCGGGTGAGGGGGCTCTTCGCGGGAGAGACGGTGGTTTCTTCTGAGCCGCAGCCCATCGTATTTTGAGAAAGCATGCAGGTTTTGCCTCGTGGTAATGTTCTAATCTTACAGTATATTTTCATTTTTCAACCAGTTCTCCTTTTTTCCCCTCTTCTTTTTTTTCCTTTAATCCCTTCTTCTCTCTTTTAATTTTTTTCCCCAGTCCGGATTTGGTGAATAAAAATGAAGGAGCTTTGACTAGTCTCTCTTTCATCATGTAATGTCTTTAGCTCATTAAACAAGTAAAAACGGCTGCCATGGTAGATTCAGGTTCTTCTTGTGGGCAAAGTCTGTAAAAAGTTTGTTTTGACGTATACTCCACAGAGAAAGAGGCTGGTGCCTTGGAGTCCAAAGGAAAATATCCTAAAGAGAAGTGTCTTCTGTGCGCCAGAATGAAAATTGTGTCTTTCTGTTCAAGATCAATCGCTGAGGTTACTTAAAAAAAAAAATAAAATAAAATAAAGCCACTCTGTCTCTTTGCCGCATCTACAAGTTCACACAGAGCCTGTTAGCTGGCACGGCTTGGCAAAGCAGGGGAACTTTTTGCCATGTCGAGACGAGGCGTTCTCGGGAGATTATTTCTCTTGGACAATTCACATCATTTGTGGTCTCTGCATTGTGTCTTGATGTGGAGAAGAATACCAGTGAGAATAGCCAGGCATGTAGCTGTTGGGAGGCATATTGACTCCCTTGGCAGAAGCTGAAACGTCCCAGACTGGAGGCAGAGCCGGAGAGCGAGGGGAGAGTGCGGCGGAGCCGGGCAGAGGGTCGCTCTCGTGGGGGTTGCTGCCCTGCTTCAGCAGCTTCTTGAATTTGGAGCGTTTGTTCTGAAACCAGATCTTCACCTGTGAACCGAAACGCAGCAGATGTTAGGCTGCCGTCAGCACCCAGGGCCCGGCAGGGGAGACCCCGGGGGCCGTGGATTTGCTCTAGAGAAGGTCTTGAGAGCCCAGGCCAGTCGGGTGTGGAGTTGGGGATGGGGAGAGGGGAAGGAGGGGTAGCTACTGCTGCTCTCGGGCTCTGGATGCAGCTGGAGAGAACAGGAGAGGCAGAGCGGAGCTGGAAAGCGAGAGGGATGCAGGTTTTACCCCGGCACGTTATTTTCCCTGGGCAGGCCAGATTGATCGAGCTGAAACAGAGTACGTGCTCTGAGCTCTCCTGCTTTAACGCCGCGTTCAGAATTTTGGAGGTCATTTGATCGTTTGGGCAAACCGTTGTCAAACACGGGCGATCATCTGATTTTGTGCCAGGAGACAGGAGCCAATAGACAAAGGGCATCTTACAAAGAAATCGCGCATCCGAAAAGACGCACGATCAAGCGGTCCTTGCTGATGTAACGGGGGAGGAGGCACAATGGAACCGGGATTGTGGCTTTATTTTAAAAGCTGTTTTTAAAGAAAGGAACATTCTCTTCTCTCGGCGATTAATTGGCTACCAAGATTGCTCGGGGTCTCATCCTGCTCCTAATACAGCAGAACTCCCGAGGAGGGAGCCTGCACTCTATGAGGTGTGCAAGGATCGGGCCCGCTCTGGCAGATCAGAATTATTATAGAAATTATGTATATGTAAGACATATATACATACATATTTCTTAAAATCAAACAAACAAAGAAAACAATTCCCACACGTGTATTTGACCTTGCAAACTTTGCAGACGTAATGTTAGGGCATAAGCAGGAGTGCTTGTCTACCTGCATGCTCGGGATCGGGCCCCTAAATCTACGCGCGCGCGAGAGAAAGCGAGACAGCAGAGAGACAGAGCATGCATGCGAAGGATACCAAAATCCCATTTGCAAAACCATCCGGTCTATTCCCATGATTAAGGTTTGCTGAGTATTTAAAAATCGCTGGCTGGAAGCGACTGTTATCAATGACAATGATAAAATCCTGAAGTTATTTGTTAAGCTCATAAATTCGCATGATTACATTTTACCCGGATTGATCCCATCTATCCGCGCACTTCTCCGCAAACCCCAGCCTGGGAAGCCTGTAATGCCTCATGTATCTTTCAAGCTTAAATTAGCAGAATGGCACAGCTACTCCAACCACACTTAACTATGGCTTAACCTGCTATAATTTTGTACACGGCTGTCTTTGATCTTCAGATCTATTATCACCTTTCGTACATTTTGCCCAAGGGTAACCACTGCACTTGCGTTAGTCATCCAGGATGAATTAACTATTGATTTTACAGGTATTTCCTAGCGTGTTCCTGCTTCCTCTCTACCTATAGGTTGCTACGAGGCAGCTTTGCTTTGCTTTTAGCCCTACCTCAGGCCCAGCGATTCTTTGCCTTTGCTTTGTTCTCCTTTTCACAGCTGGGCAATTGCATCTCGGTGCTGGAATTATCCGAAAACATAGGCAATTTTAAAATGTTATGTGTGGCATCGAAAGGGAGCGCTTGCTCGCCAGGCGGCTGAGGGAAGGGCGCATTCAGCTCCTTCTGCGGTAGAGCGGTCTCTCTGTCGTGCATTAGATAAGTTCTATCACATATAGACGGGGGACGGCGTGCGTTACCTTTTCTACCGTCCCCGTACAGAGGCCAAAACGTCTAGGGAGCATCGTACTTTGCTTGGCCTTTATTGCTCGCGCAGGATTTCAGTGGTTTGGGATTCCCAGTAATTACCTGTGTCTGGGTAAGTCCTAATGAAGCTGCCAGTTCAGCTCTCTCTGGAAGTGCCAGGTACTGAGTCTGCTGAAAGCGATGATTTAAAGCCTGGAGTTGTAGACTAGAGTAAATGGTTCGAGGCTTCCGAATCTTTTTCCCTTTTCCATTGAATCTGATTTCACCGTTTTCAATCACTGTGGTTTTTTGCTGATCTGCAAGCAAAACAACACAGCTGAAACGTCACCCTCCTTAGCTATTTAACGCGGGCATTTTGGCTGCCACGGCTCCTGAAAACCCAGCAGCCTGCCCCGACGCCGGTTCAACACCGTCGCGTACGCACAGGCTCCGGCTCCTTAAAGGCATGCCGCGACGCACGCTGCAGCTTGGGAGCTACCGGGAGAAAAAACAACTGTCCGGGCGCAGTGGGCACGTTGCCTTTCGCCCGGGGGGTGTGTGTGGAATTATTAAAAAAAAAAAATAAAAATTAAAATAAAGTGCAGCACTGGCTTCGTGAGGGGATGCCCGGTTCCAGGGCCATCCAGGTTTTACCCAGCTAATTGACTTCGCGTCGCCAGCTTGGTGGTCAGTGAATCACCAGTCCGAGACTTTCAACAATGCTTTTCTCCCCCCGCCCCCCCGCCGTGCCCCTCCGGATGAATACGCACAAACGAGCGGCTCCCTGCAAAAAAATACATAAATCAGACGGCCCCCGAGCGGAATGCGACCCGCTCGCCTGGAAACTTTCACTCCTCAGGTGTTAGCA